ATAATTAATTATTCATAGTGTGGTAGAACATTGTGTGCTCTGTTTGGTTAAGTTTGAAGTTCAGCTGCATTATTTGCTGTCAGTGCAGTCTAAGAAGTGAATGCATATTAGTCTCTGCAGTTCTTCATGGGAAGGCGCAGAATGTAAAGAATGCTATGAAGTCAAAAGTTCAAATTTATGTGTCAGCATAAACTGCAGGTTTAGAAGCAAGTACCCAATCACACTTCAATAACTAGGAGGCTTCACCATTGTGATAAAGTGTACACCTTATGATTAAGTGCAAGTATGCTTTGACTTTGGATTTTGAAGCAATCTAGGAGGCTACATTTTGCATACATTCATCTGAGAGCCAGTTATTCAACACTTAATTGAGCCTTTGTAAAGGTATCTGAAAATGCATATTTGGTGGCCCACAATGCCTTCCCGGTGAGCTAAAAAGCTCATCTCAGAGCAGCCCTAGAACTTTCAAAAGTTTCATGATCTTGGGATATTCCCACACCTCATTTAACCCCTGTGAAGTAAAGGCCTACAGTGTATGTACCTTCAGTAATTTCAGAGCAGTTCTCTGACTATCTCTAAAGTTTCATAAATCTGTGGTGAATCCTTCCTTCGGATGAGACGTTAAACCGAGGTCCTGACTCTCTGTGGTCATTAAAAATCCCATGGAACTTCTCGTAAAGAGTAGGGGTGTAACCCCGGTGTCCTGGCCAAAATTGCCCCCCTGGCCTTTGTCAATCATGGCCTCCTAATAATCCCCAACCATTTGATTGGCTCTGTGACTCTCTCTCCTTTCCACCTGTAGCTGGTGTAGACCCCCCCACATGATTGTAAAGCACTTTGGGTGTACAAAAATACACAGTGAAGTACTATATAAATGCATCATTCATTCATTCATAAAATAACACATCCAGTGTTATTTTACATTTAATTGCTTTAATTTCTGTAGTCTTCATTGTAAAAATTAAATACAGATTAATGCTTACCATTAACGTTATAAAACGTATTCAGTCAAGAGCAGAAAGTGATTTTCTTTGTCTTTTGCTCTTTGATGATCCGGGCCGATCATGAGGAAAATCGGCCGATTCCGATCCCTGGCTGATCGATCGGTGCATCTCTATAAATTTTCTATATAAAAATTAGGTTTTGCACCTGTTACTGTTGTTAATAAAAGTAAATTTTGTATGCAGCTTAACGCAAGCTTAGTGCTTTACTGTCAAATCTGTATAAACCATAAACAAAAGAAAAATAAACAAGAGATGAACATGTAATATTATTAGTAACTGCACTTATTAATGCAAAACACACTAATGTTCCATACAGAGCACAAAAAATACAAACCATCACAAAAATTGTTTTAGACAAAGTTTTCTTAATTTGCTAAAAATGGAAGAGTGCAGAAACATAACACCTCTTAAACATTTACAAAATATAAAATAAAAAAGAATGGCAGACATTTGGGCCAAAGTCAGCAAAGATAAAAATCTTTGTCATTATTTTATATTTGTTATTAGAGACATTTTAATCGTCCATGATCAAAAATTGTCATATCGCACACCCCTAACTACCAAGTATAATCAATCTCACACACACAAACAAGCACAACAAAATCACTTCTCACTATTAAGCGGCTGTGTTATGAACATGCAAAACGGTATCGCACGCGTGCTACAGTGGTAAATGTATTCATCGCACAGACCAGTTTTTTAATAGCACGTGCGATATGTCGCACTGTACAGCCCTGATAAAGGACTTTGTTTTCCTACCTCCACTAGTGCCATCTATTATTGCCTTGTTTATCTTAAAGTGCTCTTTCTCTTTAAACCTAGCCAAAAAGCCATATGTGTTGACTGTGAAACACAGTAGACTTTAATAATATGCATTTATGGTGTAATTACTACATTTTCATGTCAATCCATGCTCATATTTACTGCAAAAAATGTGCTGTTACTTTAATTCAGCGCATTAAAATAGACTCGGTGCAGAAACGATCTCTGCACTGCTGCAGAAGCAATGCTACTGGAACACACTGCCGGACAGCAACCGTGTGCAGTGTGCACGCTTTATTAATCTCTTAACATGAGCATGGAAAAAATACGCACCACATTCGCACTGCAAACGGAGTAATATGAACCTGGCATTATGTGTGTACGGCTGCGCTGCGAGTGTGCGTGAGCGCTCAGTCTCCAGGAGAGTGCGCGAACGCTGAATGGTTAAACACTGGCAAGAATTAAAAAGCAATGCAATTTATAAACTGTAGTGACACTGCCTCGATTGTGCAAGTGACAATTCCTGTGTCAACTGTGCAGCGTGCAGCTCGCTTATAGACCGACGCAATGTGGTGATTTGAAGTCATTTGCGTATTTTGAGAGAGCGCGCGCGCGTTGATTCACTCACGCTGTTTGTGAAATTAAGTCTCACACAAGGTTTTCAAATTACTTTACTTTACTAAGTTATTTAACGAAAAAATATGAAGGTGAGTGAATCACCATTCACCAGCATTATAATTATTTCACCCGCACCGGACAGAGACTGAGACAGCGCCACTGCATGTCATGCCAAACCTCTCACGGCAGTGTCATCAGTTATGAGATCTTTTTTTGAGATCGGCCTTTTAGAGACCGCCGATCAATCATCCCAACGTGATTATCGGCCGATAGTGATCGGTAGCCGATCAATCGGAGCACCCCTA